CTGTGCAGCCTATGCAAGATTCTCACACCAATTTCGTTCCGTGCCACATAATACAAGAAATCATGCATTTTTCCAAGTATCACTCAACAAACTTTCAATCGAATGGCCTAAGAATGGTGCAATAACTGAGTATGTGAATGCAGGTGAGCGTCGTCAACTCACGGATCAATATGCAATTACACCACGAAAAAGGGCCAAAACACGAGCAACTAACGATATTAGTTCATCAGACGTTCAGCACCAACGCGAGGCACCTCTCGGGAGATTGAAGAACTACAAGTGAGTGCTATACAAACTTTTCATGAGCCAATCAATCTTGTGCTGCGGGACAAATTTACTTCATAAACAATTTTTTTATGTTCAGAACAGTCTTTTCCACCTAGCAGCATAATCACATTTATAAGTGAACTTATATCATCGCATACGATGCTTGCTTCCATATCATCAAATGTGAAACATTCCTTTTGATGGCTTTAACTTAGCTCAGATGTCATTTACCCCAAAGCGTCCAACTCTAAACTAATGAGGACATTTATGCTATCATCCTTCAGTTTGGAGCCGTTGCAGGAAATCAATAACGAGTAAAAGCTGCAAATGAAACAAGCGATCGTAAAATCTGAGGGTGAAGTATACGCGGATATCAATCAGTGAAACGGCATGGCTTGACGACTCAACATTCAACATATATAACACTCGGGTCGCCTTCAAAGACATGATTGGGTGAGCTGGGTCGGACCTCTGAAGCTACCTACATTTCCCGGTTACACGACGTAAGGCAAGTTCAGTCGACAGGCCGTCTATAGCACTGCTGCACTTGTGGGTCAGTGGAATGCCTCACACAACATAAGCCAATTAACCACCATTCAGCCGTTTTCAAAGATGCCTTAGGACCGGCAGGTGTAATCAGACCTGCCCGCGTCCCGCCATTTACACTACTATCGCATCAGCTCTGCTGACAACAGCTCAACCCGGTCCGTAAATTAGTAACCGCCCAATGCAAGGCCTTCAATAAACACACATTCCCCAACGGAGCCGCGGGCGGCTGGATGACGTAACGAAGCTCTCCACCCAGCGCGTCGGTCCAGCCTTTGTCCGGCTTTTATGGAGTCTCTCCGGCTTCCAGTTGTCCTTCATAGACAGCATGCAATCACGTTCCACCGGAAGAGCACTTGAGGTTTTCCCTCTCAGAAATGGCAAGCCACAAATTCGGGACACGATTCGCAGCCGCAACCCCGCTCGGGACAACAGCGAGGATGTTGGCATTCAGCTGCTGCAGGGTCTGCAGGAACGGCAGTGGCAGAAAGGCGCGGGAAACGACTGCATTGATCAGCGCAATCGAATCTGTTCACTGTCGAAACGGCACGGACGCGCCATACGGAAGAGCTGTGGTGATGTCCAGACGGTGTGCACGGCGCGGGTCTTCGCGCCATGTAATGAAGTTTTGCAGCCTAGGATGACAAACGAAATGTGCCCACACTGATTTGTTATGTGCAAGAATTAGTTTAAGTGAAAAATACCGGGACAGCGAAAATCTTTATTCGAAGATGCTGTGTTACAGTATGTTACAGCTATCCATAACTGACTGGTGAAAACATTTACGAAAACGACATGCTGCGACCGCATACCTCATTCAATTCAAATCGTCAGAGAACCATTCAACGTCTTTCGTACATTTTCTTACATTCCTAGGCTACGCACCACGTTGTGAAAACAATAAGTGACGTCACAAAGCTTAATATTCCTCACCAAGATCGGAAACCGTAAGCCGATCTACCAACGTCACCGACAGTTTAACGATCCTTTGTGCGGGCACTATGTGCTTCCTAAGAGAAACCGCATATGCGGCAGCCTTTATTAAGCTGGAATATTTTGCACCTTCATGGACAAGCACGCATTACTTTTATTAGAGCACTTTTCAAGCAGCGCATACTTACTATACACTCGCACTCGCCACCGAAGATGAACCGATCGATTTCATTACAAAATTTGACCCACAGCCTTTGCCAGACAGAACCAAGGAGGGTTTACATAACGCACTGAGTTCCGGCACGAGCGCTGCGGGCTTCTAAGCTCCGGCACGAGTGTCCCGGGTCACTGAGCTCCGGCACGAACGCCCCGGGCCACTAAGCTCCGGCACAAGCGCCCCGGATCTCTGAGCTCCGGCACGAGCGCCCCGGACTACTGAGCTCCGGCACGAGCGCCCCGGGCCTCTAAGCTCCGGCACGAGCGCCCCGGGCCACTAAGCTCCGGCACAAGCGCCCCGGATCTCTGAGCTCCGGCACGAGCGCCCCGGACTACTGAGCTCCGGCACGAGCGCCCCGGGCCTCTAAGCCCCGGCACGAGCGCCCCGGATCACTGAGCTCCGGCACGAGCGCCCCGGACTACTGAGCTCCGGCACGAGCGCCCCGGACTACTGAGCTCCGGCACGAGCGCCCCGGGCCACTAAGCCCCGGCACGAGCGCCCCGGGCCACTGAGCTCCGGCACGAGCGACCCGGATCACTGAGCTCCGGCACGAGCGCCCCGGGCCTCTAAGCCCCGGCACGAGCGCCCCGGGCCACTAAGCCCCGGCACGAGCGCCCCGGGCCACTGAGCTCCGGCACGAGCGCCCAGGACCACTAAGCCCCGGCACGAGCGCCCCGGGCCACTGAGCTCCGGCACGAGCGACCCGGATCACTGAGCTCCGGCACGAGCGCCCCGGGCCTCTAAGCCCCGGCACGAGCGCCCAGGACCACTAAGCCCCGGCACGAGCGCCCAGGACCACTGAGCTCCGGCACGAGCGCCTCGGGCCAGTCCGACCCTTTGGCAGTTTGCCACCTGACCTTTCCACGTCAGCCTGGTCAAACAATTCTGGGACCAGCTGCCGGACTCGTAAGCGGCGCCGCTGGATTACGAGCTCAGCACCTGTCCTCTGGGCCACAGAGATATGAAGCTGACCATTTGCACCTAACAAACAGCACGTTCTCCACCCATGCCACCCTAGACTGCGACTTGATGCCCTCAGATGGGCGGCGCTGTCACTTACAGTACAGTTTGTTCGTGGAAGGTTTTAGAGTACTTGCATGGAGTTCGAGTTGGATCTGGCAACACCAGTTTGTGCTTTCGATCCCGAAACAATGTTACCTAGATGCGGCAACTTTACAATGTTACCTAGATGCGGCAACTTTACAATGTTACCTAGATGCGGCAACTTTACAATGTTGCCTAGATGTCGCAACTTTACAATGTTACCTAGATGTCGCAACTTTACAATCTTACCTAGATGCGGCAACTTTACAATGTTACCTAAATGCGGCAACTTTACAATGTTACCTAGATGCGGCAACTTTACAATGTTACCTAGATGCGGCAACTTTAATGTTACCTAGATGCGGCAACTTTAATTTGTTATCTAGATGTCGCAACTTTACAATGTTACATAGATGCGGCAACTTTACAATGTTACCTAGATGCGGCAACTTTACAATGTTACCTAGATGCGGCAACTTTGCAATGTTACCTAGATGCGGCAACTTTATGTTGCCTAAATTCGGCAACTTTACAATGTTACCTAGACGCGGCAACTTTACGATGTTACTTAGATGCGGCAACTTTACAATGTTGCCTAGACGCGGCAACTTTACAATGTTACCTAGATGCGGCAATTTTACGATGTTACCTAGATGCGGGAACTTTTTTGGCCTAGATCGAACTGCCGCTCTCCTACCAGTCATGCAGCCTTCCTGATACTGAAATCGAACATGCCCCCACACACGCCTTAGCACGTCCAGGCTGGTCACACCCAGGAGCTTACAGTGAACCAGTTCTGTTCTAACTTGTCATCCAATGAGCTTGGGGCGAGATAACCACACCACACCAGTCCTGTTATAATGTGTCATCCAATGAGCTTGGGGTGAGATAACCACACCACACCAGTCTTGTTATAATGTGTCATCCAATGAGCTTGGGGTGAGATAACCACACCACACCAGTCCTGTTATTATGTGTCATCCAATGAGCTTGGGGCGAAATAACCACACCACACCAGTCCTGTTATAATGTGTCATCCAATGAGCTTGGGACGAGATGACCACACCACACCAGTCCTGTTATAATGTGTCATCCAATGAGCTTGGGGTGAGAAAACCACACCGCACAGGCTCGTCTAGGTGACAAAACAGGCAGTTCTAATCAACACAAGGCGAGAGCCAAGGCCCATGCACTGCACCCTGGCGCGTCGTCATAAGGCTATTTAACACATTCATGGGGCTTGGTGACCTTCCCCAGCCATTTACGATCGAACTGTGGGGTCGGAAAAGAGATTATCGACAGCCTTTGTCCATCCTCACCTGGAGGACCTCAACCAATCACATGGCTAGCGATGTGACGAATATCTGTACAAAGATAAAAAAGAGTTCAAGATCTAATCGAAGGCTTATTTTCCCCGCAGTTTCCGCCAACTTTTCCATCCGTACCAGATAAAATGCGTCTTTACCACGTCAGCACCCTACCCCATTATTCACAACGGATACGGGCCAAGGTCAGGTCGCGCCAGCTCAGTTCACACTCACGTCGGCTAATTCGACGTTATTTCTATACCGTTTCGAGTCACCTAACTAATGCTCACTTATAATGACACGCTCATTTGTCATTGGTTCGGATTGTGTTGTTCGCCAAGTTACCATCACAAATGGGCGACACTTATAGGTTGATATCGCATGGCTCTTCATGCTACCTGGCGTAACCCCACACACACACACTCATTAACCTGACGTTAACCGGCATGCAGCCAAACCAGCAAAAGTTGGTCATCCTATCTGCAACGACCTGGAGGTCAGCACGGAGACACAAGCGGGAAAGGCACTTTTGATCCCGAGCGGTTTTTGGCCAACCTTTGGTCGCTGCATGAGCTGGCGACCGTGTTGAGAGTCTGTGGTATGTAAGCTAGAGATGATACTTTACCTTGATAGTCATCAATACAAAGGGCCAATGATCGAAGAGGGAAGACGCTGTGATCCCCTACCTCCTGGTTGATGAAGCAGTAAAGAAAGCAGATGAAGAAGCCCTGGAACGAGTCGAGCACGGCCAGTACGATGGTATAGCAGCCGAAGACGGCGACGGACCGGTCCAGCGGCGGCTCAAACATCTGCAGCGAGTGCGTGATGCCGAGCAGCGGCAGCAGGAATAGCGCGGCGCGCACCGCCTTCCTGCGGACAGGCCGGGGGACCGATGGTCAGCAGGGTAGCGCTCCACTGGGACAGGGTGGGTTGTACCGCTGGTCAGCGGGACACCGCCCCACTGGGACAGGGTGGGTTGTACCGCTGGTCAGCAGGGTACCGCTCCACTGGGACAGGCCGGGGGACCGCTGGCCAGCGGGGCACCGCCCCACTGGGACAGGGTGGGTTGCACCGCTGGTCAGCGGGGCACGGCTCCACTGGGACAGGCCGGGGGACCGCTGGCCAGCGGGGCACCGCTCCACTGGGACAGGGTGGGTTGTACCGCTGGTCAGCGGGACACCGCCCCACTGGGACAGAGTGGGTTTTACCAGTGGCCGTCAGAGCGCATCCACGCGGGGCAGGTGGGAATATTCTAGCATGCATGAAAAGGTCGCCTTCCTCCTGACAGGTGCAAATATGTCAACAGCCACCCCAGCATCTACCTTCCCGAGGACAGGCCAGTAGCCGATGGACGACGTATCACTAGTGGACATCAAAGCGAGGCTCTCTAGCGGAGAGGTGGGCATACATCGGTAGTCGCTCGAGCGCTGATTTGATGAGGAACAGATTGGAGTATGGCGACGATTCTCCGAGCGCTGCGCTCATGGGGATGGGCAGGAAAACACCCATGAGCCTATCAGGGTCCTGTCTTCCTGCCGGCAGGCGGCAATACAGCGACGACTGCTAGAGCAACGCACCTATGGCGGGGGGGGGGGGGGGCAATCGAGAGTGCATGCATGTTCATAGGCGGAAAAAGAAAAACTGCAGTGTGCGCTGGCCTCCTGGGGACAAGCGAGAGTGCAACGGTGGTCCTCAGAGGCGGTGGAGACGTTGCCTGTTTTGGAACATCCATCCACGATCTAACCCTAATGGTCACCGAGCGAAGGAACCACAAGGAGTGTTACAAGAATGCGTGAAGACATGCGTTATGTCCCATCGCATTGCGCAATTTAGGTATCATAGCGAAAAACGGTTTTCCGAACAATGGAACCGCCCGTAGACGTGTGGCAGACAATGTGGAGTTCATGTACCAGTTCCTTTGCCATTCATGCAGAAAGAAGGCCATTCTGAGAGCGTCGTTCTGAGAGCTTACCTTATCTTTTGAACGTCGTTAGAATTGCTCTCCTTAAGCTTCGTAACAAGCACCCTCATGATGTTGAGCAGAAAGCCCAGGTTGGCCTGAAATCAATTCAGTACATCTTCACATCACATACAGCACCAGACTGTCAAACATAGCCCCCCCTCCCCCCCCACAGCCGGGATAAGAGAACCGTGACTCAAAAGGTTCCGAACCGTAACACGAAGACTAGATAGAATTTATATCTGCATTTGCCATTTGGAATAACAAGGAAGGAGCCCGTGCATGCGTGATAAACACTTCGGACACCAAAAGGCGAAATGAAGGAAGAAAGGGTATGGAGTAGGAAATATGCCCTGGCCACCTGCTTTTCTCAAATGGGGGCAGAACTAAAAAATGCACGCAGGCGATTTCTGGCACATCGTCTCTCAGATCCAGACGCCATCTTAAAATAGCTGACTTATACCGTAGGTTCCTTATACAGCTTGATAACTTGCCAAACTCAGAGTAGCGCATCAGGCAGAGTCCGCCGACCGGACGCACCGACAGCTTACTGTAGTCAGGAAGTAGGATTCTTGGATATTTACTTTTGGCACCTACTGCTACTGTTCGCCTGCTGTTTTTAGTAGTTTTCATTTGTGCACATGATTTACCGGGACCAGATTCATGCCAGCCAAAACACGGACCACTTGTTATAATTGTTACAATTATTAGGCTCAAGTAATTAAAAATTCTAATTATCAAAGCAGGACGTTTCGAAAATTTGTACCCAAAAGACCCTTTGCGCGTGGCGAACCAAAGTAAGACGGTTTTTTTCTGCATCTATCGTTCACACCCAGCACCCGAGGCTGCATTTCTCATCAGCCAGTTCTGTCATAACATTTTCGTCACTAAGCTCAGGCAGTGAACGACCCCGAATATCAGCTGCGCGCGCCACGCGAGCAACTCAATGCGTCATAAACAATAATGGCATGCAGCCCTGCTCACGAGCGTGAAGGGGACACGCTCACTGACGGAACAGATATATCCGGAATGTTTTATCATAAGTTAACAAGGACAGCTAATCAAACAGAGTGACTTACCGCGATGACCATGAAACGTGGTCCTTGGTTTATCCAGTAGAATAAACTGACATGATACCCCCACCAGCACCTGGAAAGCATCGTACCGACGTTATAACCGAGGGTCCCCCGCAGATTTCTATACAAGACACACCTATGACTGAAACACGTTGCTTTAGCATCTGTGCCCTCGTACAAAATCTCAATGGCGTTGAATGCGCAACAATCCGTCGTACTTATATCGTGATGGATCTCGTGCAGCAAGTTTGCAATGGTTTTGTCTCGTCACCCCGTCTGCTTCTTTCCACGTTTCCTCGAGCTGTCTAAGTTCCTAGCTTATGGTTAACTATATCAAGTGGCATCAAACGAAGCCGAATATAGTTTAAGCAATCACCATGGAGGTTCGCAAAGTTACCGAGGAAAAGGAACACGCCACGTAACTATGTGTGGCGCAAACCGATTTTTCTTGGGGGCAGGAAGATCTAGGAGCTTCCAAGGCAGATCAGGGCCCCCTATCTCAACCCCCATCTAGATTGTTTCTTCGTATTTTGTTCACTTCATTTCTCAAGAATGTCTTTCCTTTTCTTACTCTGTGTAAGAAGTATCTCTCAGATGCATGGATAAAGCTGAACAAAATCTCTTGGCCTGATGGGGCCTCCGGTGTCTTTTCCAGGTCCTGGTTTGTCGTCACAATGAGTTAAGACTTCTGGTGCTGAGTAATCAACCTTCTCTTTGCCAGGAGGTACTGGTTTAACGACGCACTAAAGCAAACATGGGATATATTGGCAGTGTGAGGGTGACACTGAATCACAATCACGAGTGTGAGATACATCAATATATGATAACGAGTATGAGACTGAAACGTCAAGCACTCTCCAGTAATCAATGTTTGCTCAGTCAAAAGGTAGTAGAGACACTAGGAAAGACCCAACCGAAGTCAATACAATACAGATCCTACGGGATGAACTTGGCCAGGTGGCGGTTTTCAAATGACTATTCCTGGAATAACACGCCTACGGTGAATGATATCAATCTAATCAAAATTAGAATGGTCAACTCCATAAAAAACAAAGTATGATGATTTCTATAACAAGCTTATCTTGAAATGCGGCACCTGTATCACTTGACCTTGTGGCACAACATATTGTTTGCATTCTATTTGACCTTTTTGGGATCCCAGTTTAGAAGAAAACGCACACAGGAATCGGCATTCATTGAAGAAAGCTTTAGCTGTCAGAATTTATCAAAACCAAACAAATCATGATGGCTCTTTGTAGGAAATGAGTTTTACATGGCGGCAGCTATGTCCGTTGCCCACAACAGCCGCTGTTTTGTTTACATTTGCATTTTTACATCTTGCTTTGGCGACATGTTCTGTCTCGGTCACCCGGTGCTTTCTGTCGACCCAAGGAACCCGAAAAGATATCTGCCTCCCTGGCAAATGGTAAACGGGCGCGGTTGCCGCCCGGCCACCGAAGAGGCGACGCCCCTGTATAGAATACTACCATTTACTTTCAAGGGGTAACGTGCAATGTTGTTGGGTCATTCCATGAACTATGTGGTGCAGCGCAAAATAATAATAACAAATAGGATGCTGCAAGGCGTTCGTGTGCACAATCGCGAACCAAAACAAGCTGAAACGTTCACGTCCGAAGTGGCTGTGAAATGACAGGTGGGCGCATTACGGTTTAAAATGAACCGCGTCGTGTGCGTCACTTGAAGGGCACCTGCGATCAGAAGAAATTCACTACCGAAAGAAATAGCATCAACTTGCACCTCCACTAATCTGCTCATGTAAAGAAGTGGAGTTGCGAGTGTTTGTGTATGGCATCTATGAATATTGTTGCACATATTGCCCATCATGGAGCTATGCGATGGCATGCTGGTACGTCTGTCGATTTCTTGAATTGCCACGCACCAATGACTGATCTACCATGGCATACTTTCGTACTATGTTCATGTGAGATGACTCCTTCACATGATCATGATCATGATCACCGCCGCTTTTGCACGTGTGGACCACCGTTTGTGATCGGTACTCACTGCGTTTCGGTGTAGAGACAGGCCATGACGATGGCCCACACCGACGTAAGGAGTATAGAAAGGCCCCAGCCTATTAAGCTGAACACTCTGAAACGGATTGGAATACATGCATCACACAAAACGTTCAGTAGCGGCTGTCAAGGATGGTCTCAACACGTCTGAAACGGAGCTAATTAGCAGGCGAGGGGCCATTTAGCCTTTGAGAGCGCTGGGGGCGCTTTTGCACTGTTCTGGGGCTGGTTTGGGATCAAAGCTAAGATAATAAAAATAAATAGTCTTAATAAAACACGGCAATGCAGCTTTTGCCGGACGCGAGGTTGGGCCATCAATGGCACTTTACCGACTTCACCAGCCCAGCGCACTGCGCCAACGGAGACGGCCACGGAGGCCAGAAACGGAACGTCCGGCAATTCCCTGTAAACTCGTAACAAGCTTAACTGCTTGCAGTGCGCGAACTCCGATCACAAAGCTGCCGTGGCACGAGGCGGCGGAACGTGACCTTTCTCGAACAAACCGACCAGCCCGTCTCCGTCTCTTTTGCCGCCCCGCGCACGCGCCCGTTCCCAGCCGCGGTGCCGCGCTGGGCTCGCAGGCCCCTCGCGCCCGCTCTCGTTACAGCCGTGCTCGCCGCCGACGGCGCGCACGGGCGGGGAGACGACATGGCGCGGTGGGCACGGCCACAGCTGCACGCTACAACTCAAAAGGCAAAAAGTGTAGATTTGACGCTCGATGCAGTTTTTGCTTTTTGGATTTTGCGAAATACGATGCGTGTTCTGTATTCGTTTCTGCAACAGCCATTGTGAGAGGTTTCGATGCGCCCGCGGCAAAATATTATTCCTGGGGACCACCGCTGTAGACGAAATGAACGAGCGCTTTAAAAGCATGCTGCAGCACTGCGCAATCCTGTGTGTGTTTTTCATGACTGAGACGAAAAACGTGCAAAGTGGACTCTTACAAACGCTGATAACCCGCGGCTGCTTCATTTCTTAGGTTTAGCCTTAACATATATTTTGAGTCGAATATGGCTAAGTTTTTGTATGCGCATCCTATCCAGTCGGTGTTTTTATTCTGCAGTCAGCTTGCTTTTTACGATGTAGGAGAAATGGGAAGACTTGGCACCAGTACCATATGGGACATCTCCCTTTGCCTCCCTTGCCACGACAATATGGCAACTTTCTGATGTTTTCCGGAGATTTGTGGGTGCATGCTCACGATTTCTGCCCCACGCCTTTGTAATTTTTCCAGATTATTCCCAAATCAAGCAGATGTGAAGATATAAACATGGTTTATGGATTTTTTGGGGCCATCTGCTCGGACAATGTCGGAAAACCCAGCCTGAATAACACGAACACTACCATGTGTGTGCACTAACGACCTAGTTAATGGCTCTTATAAAAATAAACAGTAACAAGCGATTTGAAATCTGGCCGTCGCAAGTTTTAAATTATGCTGATGTGTAAAAGTCGACCATAACAGATTAAATGTCGCTTACGATGGCTACGTACCTACCAATAATACGCAGCAATTTTCGTGAAAAGATAGATAGTTCCCAGATACATGCGGGTTCTTACTACCTTTGCCCACTGCCTGATAAATCAATGTGTCCCATATAATAACTTATAATATTTGAGCACTAGAACCTCCTCATCTACGGTCCCAAGTTAACCAGCCGTGTCCCCGTTCACCTTATTGTGAGAATGAACTAAATTCCCATATTTCATTTATCTATGGACGTAAATGCAAAGAACACTAGGGAGAGAATAATGATTTTTCAGTGCATATCTTGGAGCAGTTCATACAATCATATGCATAATAGAACGAGTAATATTGACCTTCAAACTTGCGCTTATTTTCGCATTCCACTTTGCTTTTATATTTCGACTTGGTGCTAAAGCGACCATGTTTCAGTTGTTTGGATTTAGTTGCGGTTGAGAAGCTATTTTCAGAAGCAGGTTATGCCTAAGCGCCTAAATGATAAATTAACCAGCGTCTTGTTTGTTCAATGAAAACTCATCTTAGACGAATTTAGACGCTGATAATAACGTTTTGATGAAATTATTGGCCGGTTCCGATCGCTCCCCCACGCGATCAATGTTCTCTGAAGGGCCCTTGGCCTTTCAAAGGCTCTCGGTTTTGATAGCCCTTCGGAAAATTACGGGAACGCACGGCGGCTCACAATGGGCCACCTGACATGTTGAGTCCTATAGAGGGTATCCCACTTCATGCAAGCACGTTCACACAAGCCAACTGGAACCTAATTGAATCACAATGCCCACCGACCGGCTGTCCATCAGCTACGAAGCTCTCCGCCAGTAAGACGCTCCAGCGCTAAAGCCTCTCCATATCGACCTTTGGAGGGTCCGGGTCGAGGCCTCCGTCTGACATAAAGCGGTCTATTGTCGCGAATGAAGGAAAATCAAGACAATGTGCCTTCCGGCGGCGTGAAAGTGGAAAAGCCGACATTCAGGCAGCGGCGAGCGGTTACTGTCAGCATGCTCGTGTGCACAGAATGCCGTGGATAATGTGCATATCCGCTTACTTCCGGGATGACTTGCAGTCCTACGGCTCTGGCGATGGAGATACAAGATATAGAGAAAACGGATATAGATATGAATACCAATACACGATATAAAGATATAGGAGATATATCATCCGGGAAGTTCCAGTGCCGCTAAAGACCTCAGTGCTGCCAATTCACTGCCTTAATCAAAGTTACAACTATTGTATCACAGGTGCTGATTTTTGTCGCGGCCGCTCACGTATGTACAGCCCACGCATCCCTGTATCGACTCTGGATGAGGTCTATTTGTTTAGTAAAACCTAGGCTGATTACAGCTTGTCGGGTAATGGTGATGGTTAGAGTCTTGGGGCGCGCCGACAACTCAGGCCGTTTTGCGCCGGGATGTATGACCAGGACCCCGACCGACAAGCTTAGCGCGAGGCCACGCGTTAAGATCATACAACAAAGAAAGTCAGACCATTCGTACTAATTGCTCAAGTACTAGCAAGCTTAGGCAGAGCTCACCGCGGATGCAAAGTAAAACAGGCGAATCACGACTGACCCGTCGGGATCAATGTGACCGTCATGGATACTTCTCAATGTCTGGCTTGTGAGCATGAATGTCTGAGATCTGGCCAGAAATATCCAAATCCGTTAACATGTGACTCAAGAGTGTTTTATTCAAGTTCAAGCTACGTGCTGTCCACCAGCCCTAAAAGAAAATGAACACTAACCGACCACGATGGTTGCGTGAAAAACAACACACTTCGCCGAAACCACAACAGCTTTTATGCCTAAAGATTGATCAATTGTAAAGATAGCCGTGTCCCGGTCCATCATCGCGACCGTTGAAAAACAGTTACAAGCATTTAGATGGCCCGTTTCAGCCAGCTCAGCCCACGTGGCTATCTTTCACCACCATACACCGACGTTGGCGCGGTGCCAAGAATTCCCGCTTGGATTTGGCTGGTCAAATGAGCTGCTGGCTGGCAGCCTGCAGAGTTCCGATCAATCGTTAGACGACTTCACGCGGTTCTCAAACCCCAGCCAGCAGCGCTTCATGTCCAGGAAGCCAGAACGCCCCGGGCGACCCGCTCGGTCAGCGCAAACCGCTCTGGGCGCTGGCACTGCCCGGGACGCGGGAAGTGCTCGTAAGTGGCTTGAGCAAAATTCAGACGCTGAAAAGACGCGTCACAGCGCGTGCAAAAACGTTCGAGGACGCTCTTATCTGCTATGGGCAGGCGTGAGCTTGCAAATTCTCACTCACTAGAATGCTTTGCATTGCTATTTTTAAGATATGCAATCAAATTAATCCGCAAGCGATTAATAATGTATAAGGTATATATATATAATATATATATATATATATATATATATATATATATATATATATATATATATATATATATATATACAACATTTTAAAATTAAGTTTTATACAATGAATGAACAAACGATATTTTATTAGGTATCAAAGAGATGTAATGCATCCAAGTAAGGTATTTCATTATGACATTCCGCAGTTTATTTTGCGGATGAACACCTGTTTCATCAAGTGATAATTGATTCAGGATCAAAGAGGTGGAATCAATCCGAAGGTAAGATATTACGTTGTGGCGTTCCGCGGTCCTTCGCGAACTTGAACGCGATGTAGTAATTGTCAGATATCGACCAGCAGCTTACTGCTACTTCAACAATTCAATGCGTCGATACCTAGCATGTAATATCTGAGCTGGCCATTCCACCTGCAACCTACGCGTAGGTTTCACTGATTGATGAACAAACTGAACGATACGGAACGCAAATGTTTATTTTTTGGCGACTTTTTTGCATCCTTAGAAGTGGTAATGTGGCCGGTGTATTCTATTTCACACCAGGGGCAAGTGAAATCTGGACGTTCCTTTCCTCTACACCCTGTGTTTCTCGTATCTGTCAATTGTGGTCATAAACGCCGCTCCTTGAGCTTGCCTCTTTACAAACCTCGTTCCATCTGAAGGCGCTACTGAAATTTCTAGCCAGAAAACCTGATTAAAGATGATGAGGCAAAGACGCGAGTTTGAAGCGCGCTTGTCCCCATTACACATTAAGTACACGTCACAAATCGGTCAGAGAGATGCTCGGACTATCACCGGACGAACATCCTCTACACCATGTTGAATTCAAATAAATTCACGGCATGAAAACAGGGTTAAGAAGCAATATTTGCACAGCATCTGGTATGCGGTCGTTTTCCTTTTTTCTATCGGCAGCGAACAAAGAAACGATGTAGCGTGTTTGGAATTGCAGAGTCGTAGCTGTTTTCTTCTAATGAATTGCATCTTCCTGTTTGTTCGCAACAAATGTGCATTGCGTTTAAAGGCACAATTTGGTATGATAATTGTTTCAGGGCTGCAACTGTCATCGAAGAGGACGGTTGGTTCGAACTGATACAGTCTGCGCGATGTTTCTTTGGAATGTTTTGTGGACAGTCGGCTTCGAATGCATTTTAGACTACTGCTTCATTGATTTTGTGTATTTGATAAAGGTTAAGGAACTGAGGGAATAAAGAAGACTTTTTGTGGTGTGAGATACGTTCGCGGAGACTTGA